TATAGCTTTCACATTCACCTCTTGTCCCAGAAGACCTTGTCAGGGCTGTTTCCCCCATCCCCAGAAGTGACATTTATTGGGTTTCCCATTCGCCCCTGGCATTGATGGGACCACTTCAGCACCTACTGCTCTGACCCTTCACTCTTAGCCTCCATCATCCTCTATCACAGCCACCTTTCTCCCACCTTTTCTCTCTCCCTGATTCCTCTGGCACTTCTCACATAGAGGGTGGCCTGTGGGTGGGGGACACAGAGGAAATTATAGCACCCAGGAAATGTCTTTCCACAGGAGACAGTCTGAAAGGAAATGCTGTTTTGTAAGAGCCTTGAATTGAGGCCAAATGTTATTAGCAACAATGTGTAGAGCAGGGTCAGCTTCCATTTGTGTGCAAAAGGAGACGGTGAGATGTTGCACTCTAAGCTTATAAACCATTTGACTTCTGACCCAGGGAAACATATATCCTGTTCCTCCCTTCCCATCAATGAAAAATGGAATCAAGTACATCCATGGAGTCAATTTTATCATTCTTTTCTCTCTATTCTTATCAGTGGCACCCTGCCTTCCACTTTCTGAGTGGTGCCAATGGGGGATCTCCACTTGACATAAGTGGCCTTGAGGATTCTAGGACAGCCCATGAATCACCCGTACCTTGTGCAGAGGAAATGGCAAAGTGAAAGGGTCTGGTGGGGGCTTTAATTCTCAACATATCACATCATGCAGACCAAAGCATAGAGTCCTTGGTCAGTAAACATGTTAAGACACCCACACCCTTCACCGATGTGCTGTGTTCAACCTATGGTGACTCTTGGTGCCCTGGGTTGCAGGGCAGTAGAGGGCCATGTGACAACTCCTCAGCCATTCCATGGCAAAATCTGCACCCAGGGCTCTTGGAGCTTCTAGCCTCCCACATCTAGGTAGACAATTACTGGAAATCTTTCGGATATTCGAATCTACCTTTTCAACTGTAATTTATGAAATCTAAAGAGAAATCAATTACATCTGATTAAAATACAGTATCCAAGGAATTTTGAAGACTTAGTATAAGGATTTACATATCTCAATTTCTATATTGCTTACAACCTTGAAATATTTTTGATATGTTGCATTAAATAAAATTTATTATTAAAATTGACGTGAGTTCTTTTTTGGTTTATTGTGGTTACTGAAAATTTTTAAACTCTATATAACACATTATGTTTCTGATGCTGGGCATTATAAAGAGAGGAAAAATGAAATATGGCATTCAGTTGACACAACTGACTTTCCCTTGAAGGAGTCTGGACCCCTGTATCTTCTTTAAAGTTCTTATCTCTGGCTTTTTCCATTATTCTTTCAGCAAATAATTAGGTTCTTTCCCTGTGCTAGGAAATGAGAAGAGATAAGCAATGTATATAGAAAACGCCTAATGCCTTGAAGATCCAATATTCCTATGGAACTAGGAAAAAGATAAACCAATGATTAATACACCAGTCCAAAAGCAATATACGAAAAATCAGGGAGGTAGGGAAATAAGGAATATCCTACATACTTACACACACACACACAGGCACAAATATTCTGGGTAAGATAAGGGCAGAAAAAGGGAAATAATAATCATTGGCCATTCTGTTGGACTTATGGTTTGATTATTCCTTTCTTCTAAGGTATTCAGTTATCTTGTCACTATTTCATGAATGTTGGCAGGGGAGCTGAGACAATGAAGTCAGAGACAAAATATTTCATCTACTCATGGTGTGGCCAGCAGCATGAGCATCAGCATATTTGTACTGGTTACCTTTGTCCCTAAGTCTCTCAGAGGTGACTCAAAGGGCCCCCATAGATGTCTGCAGATTGAGTTGTCTTACAGAAGAGGGATGCTGAGGTCATGGGACCTAGTTTATTTCAAGTAGTAAGCAAGCTGGCTCTTCAACTCAGTGGGAGAGATGATCTCATCTCTCATGGTTCCTTACTGCAAACATGCTTTTAAGAAACAGCCAAGGGGAAGAGTGGTCAGGGTCTTGCATTCTTCACATATTCGATAAGATGAGTGGGAGCAAGAAAGATGAAGGTGCACAGGTATTTCCTGCTCAGGATTTGGTAAGCTGGATTTCCATTATCATTAAAATGGTTTGATTAAGCCTCAAGATAAAGTCTCAGGAAGTAGCTCTAGCCTTGATGGCCATAAAGGATATAACCCAAGGCTGCTCAATCATCAGAACTATATGAATTTGTATCACTGACACTGCAATGAGGTCGTGCTGGTCTGTGTCTGCACCCCAGGTTCACAATCAGAAACCGCCAGTGATTGCATCAAGCACAGCAGATTATCAGAAGGAACCACATATGCATGAGTTTCTCCATTTTCACAGCACATGGATGGAATGACAAACACAGAAAAAGATCATATCACTAGCGGCAGCTGTTTTCTGAGCTGGGAAGATGACCTGATTGTTACGCTACGCTATGGTGCTAGATACAGGGGTGAAAGAACACTCACTGTTCTCGCCCTTTTCCTGCATGGCCTAAGGTCAAAGGTCCTCCTCAGGTGCTAAGAGGGTTTTTCATCTCCAATTAGTCAGTAAAACCTCACTTTCTCTAAACTCTTTCCTTGCTTGACCCTGACCTTTTATCGAAAAGGATCAGGTGTGAGAGAGAGAGAAAAGCTTTTTTTAGATAATTTACAGAGAAGAGACATGACATATCCCCCACCTTGGCCAGCATGAGGTACTGTAGGTGGACTCTATGAGTAGTCAACTGATTCAAGTGGTCACTATCTTCACAATCTTAGACCAGGTCAATAACAACAAGAGAATCCAGGTAACTGTAAATCTGGCAGTCCCACTTTTGGCCAGTCTGCAATCCAGAAGGTATAGAAACTACACTGGCTTAGCATTGCTATCAGAAGAATGAAAAGCTGTTATCATTCCCACAAATGGTTAGGGCAGAATGGCACATACTCAAAATAGATCTACAGAACCACCCTATAAGCGAGAGCTCTACAAACATCTTACAGCTAAGGGCTTGAGTGTGAGTTCTTACATGCTGGGTTGTAATAGATTCTGATTGCTTTCCCACATTGCTTCAATTCCTGGGGCATCTAATTAGTGTTAGTTCTTTCTTGTATTCAAAGCAAATAGACATTTGTAGGCTTTTCCACATTCCTCACATTCACAGAGCTTTTCTCCATTGTGAGTTTGTACATGTTTACTAAGGACTGAGGACCAAGTGAAGTCTTTCCCACGTTCCCGACATTTACAGAGTTTCTCTCCAGTGTGAATTCTGACATGTTCAGTCTTGAGAAAACAGTGAAGGCTTTTCTGCAGTGCTTACATTCATAGGGTTTCTCTCCAGTATGAGTTCACATATGGATGCAAAATGTTTAGCAATACAAATATGCTTTTCTATGTATCTTACACTCAAATGGCCTCTCTCCAGTATGAGTTCTCAAATATGTACTTAGATATGAGAAAGCAGTAAAGAATTTCCCACACTCACTACATTCAAAGGTAAGGAATACTTACATGTCTCCTCAGGCTTGTCGAAAAAGTGTAGGCTTTCCCGCACTTCTTACATCTATGGGGTTTCTCTCCAGTGTGAATTCTTGCGTGTGCAGTTAGGCCTGAGGAAACAATGAAGGCTTTCCCACATTTCATACAATCATAGTGTTTCTCTCCAGTGTGAATTCGTCTGAGTTAAGATTTAAAACCTAATCAAGGCATTCCCACATTTGTTGCATTCATAGGGTTTCTCTCCAGTGAGAATTCATTTATGTTCAGTTAAGTCTGAATATCTACTGAAGGCTTTCCCACATTTGTTGCATTCATAGGGTTTCTCTCCAGTGTGAATCTGTTTATGTCTGGTTAAGTCTGAATGCCTAATAAAGGCTTTCAAACATTCGCTGCATTGATAGGGTTACTCTCCAGTATGAATTCTTACATGTTGATTTAGATTTGACTTAAAAGTGAAAGCTTTCTGCATTTCTTACAGTCATAGGGTTTCTCTTCAGTGTGAGTACACAAGTGAATGGGAAAGTATGAAGAATTGGCAAATGCTTTCCCACACATATTACACTCAAAAGGCTTCTCTCCAGTATGAGTTTTTATATGATTAGTAAGGCTTGAGGATGCAGTGTAGGCTTTTCCACATTCCTTACATTTGTACCGTTTCCTAGCAGTGTTGAGTTTGTACATGTAAACCAAGGCTTGTGGAGTATATAAAAACTGTACCACATTCCTTCCATACATACAGTTTTTCTCTATTGTGACTTCTCATGTGTTCCTAAAAGTAAGATTCATTAACAAAGCCTTTCTCTTGCATGCTAGTTTTCCAGCATACAGTATTTGGAGTCTGGCTGACAGCTTTTCCACACTGATTAAACCTCTCTCTCCAGTAGGGGTTTTCTTGTGCAGAGGAAGGAAGCTTTTTCCATACTGATTACCCGTATAAATGTTCTTTTGGTGTGTCTTGAGGCATAAGTGTTCACTGAAGTCTTCTCCACATTCCTCACACTCACCGAGTTCCCATCCATTGTGGCTTGTTTCCTGTTGATGAATGAGGATTAAAAGATTTCTCAGAATCATTAATTGACCTTACCATCTAAAAACAGAAACATCATTACAATAATGATTTGATGTTTACCATTTTCATTACATTCCTACAACTTCCTAGCCTGCTGATTTCTTTCAAGTTGAATGATGGAATCCTTCTGCCCAAATGATGTGTGATCTATTCTGATGATACAAGATTCCTGTACAGTTTCATGCAATTGTTTCAAAAACCCAACGTCTAGTTACATATGCAGGAATGAGTACTTGTGCAAATTGTGAAGCAATAAGTTTCAAGTTAGGTTTTCCCCAAATTCATCATATTCACAATATCTCACCACAGACATTATATCTCTCTTTGGTGAATGCCACTTACCTCAAATATCTACCAGTTGTGCTATCTTCTATCAAATGAATTCCCAATCCTCTGTGAATGTGGAAAATAAGAAATATCTCTTTCCAAACTTACTGATCTTCATTTCTATCCTATTGGATGTTTTTTCCCCTAAAATACCCTGCAGAGGAATTGCTGAGTCTTTGGTTTTAAGTTGCATTTCCCATTCTAAAGTAAAAGAGATCAACAAATGTAAAAGTTTGCAAAAAGAAATGGTAGGTTAAAGGAATTAAAACCAAAACGGCTCATTTGTATTATTTACAAATTAAACATGGTAAAAAGAGAAAAAGCATGACAGATTTGAGTAGTTTGGCCAGGTCGACAATTTAACAATGATAAGGATATGAAGCTAAAATTGAGTAGTTGATTAAAAAATGATTCTATGAAAATTAAATTATGATGGGAAAAGAGACAGAATACTATCAGGGAAAGAAAGTTCTGGACTAAGAGCATACATCAAAATAATAAACTTAAAAAGAAACCCAGAACAGGTCTTTTTGTGAAATCACAGTAAATTTTGAGTAAATGTACAGTAAGAATGTATGTGAAGTTGAAGACATCCTAAAGATTCAGAAACCAATAACCTCAGCCATTTGAGAAAAAGCACATCTTAAAAAGCTTCCTCATTATTATTCCAAACATGGTGAAATTTTCATTGACCAGAGTTGTTCTTCACAATCATACACTTTGGAAGACTCCTCTCTCCACTGTCCTCAACTTTTCTTCTTGTTCCAACCAAGAAATCAGATTGGGTTCGAACACTAATACCCTGTCCAACAGGAAAGATATATTAATGGACAAGCTCTTGCAAAAGATTATAAACACTTCGAAGAATCAGGTCCTAAATTTCTAATGAATATGTAAAATCATTTCAAATGAGATGAAAATGCAAAAACCCCCTTTCTGTGCCCCAAATAGGTTATCTCTGACCCCTGAAACCACATTCAGATGTATACATATACACATTTACAAAGCATCAAGACTTTCATCAAAAAAGGAAATAAAGTACAAAAAGAGATTTTTTCATTCTCATGGAGAAACCACTACACCAGTGGTTGTCAAACTCTGCTGTCCATCAGAATCGTGTCCACTTGTTTCTGAAAACACAGAGGACTAGGCCCCAGTGCCAGAGTTTCATTCAGTATGTCAAAGTGGATTCTGAGAATACACATTTTTAACACAGTGATGGTGACACTGTTAGTCTTGCAACCACATTTTTATAGCAACTAGGCTGAATTAAAACTCATTAGAGCAGAGACTATGTGTCTCTTATTTCCCATTGTATTCAGATTTGACATCATGCAACCAGGAACACAGTAAGTACATAATATTTACCTGTTTCATGAGAGGCTATAGGAATGATGGCAGCCTTACATACTGTAGTCAGGTTCTTGTAGTTCTCCAGCATCACATCTCCGTATAGGTTTCTCTGAATTAGGTCCACTGAAGTCCACTCCTCCAAGGTGAAGTCCACAACCACATCATCAAAGGTCACGGACCTCTAAACGATTACACATAAGCTGGCTACAATAAAGCAACATCTCTACCAATATTCACTGGGGAATGAAGATGAGAGATGTAACTGGAATAGAGGGTTCCAATGTCTCTCATCATCTCCCCCAGGATGCAATGGCCCTAGGTACTCTTCTATCTAAACTCTCTCACTATAGATATCCCTCAGTTATACCTTTAATGGAACCTGTAACACATGAACTTATCTCACCACAACTAGATTAAAAGCTTATTGCCCTTTTGCAGGACACTCCTGATAAAACTGCAGACATTTGTAAATGCTAGTGAATCAATACTTTGGAGAAATGCATACTCTCATCTTCCTTACCATCTGTGAGCACACTAATTAATATAAAAGTTACACAGCCACCCTCATCCGAGTCAGTATTGGTAATAATAATTGAAATACTCAGGTTATTCAGGGTAATCCATCACCAATATGAAGGCACCAATTTGTGAGGAAATTCAACAGGAACTCTGTCCTTGAGTGGTTTTATTTCTTTAAGAAGCTCTGCAGACAGGTCTACCTAGAAGGAAATGTGTCTGTCTGGTGGATGCAGTATGTCATTTTGTAGAATACACTTTCTTCTCACCTGAGAACAATTTGTCAAACAGTCAGTCACCATCCTTTCTGCCTCTATCTTTTCCTGAGAGTGGGAGACCCAGTCCTTAGAAAGAAGGCCTAGGGACAAAGAAAGAAGGCATGAAGACCCAGAGATGACCATGATTCCCACATTCACCTGCCTAGAAATCAGTCCATTCTAGCTTGGAATTCCCAAATATCCCTGTACACTCAAGAAAATCCACACTACTGCCATCAAATGTCAAGAGTAGTCCTGTCTCACCTGAAGCCAGAAAAGGGGATTATGAGCCATGATGCCCCTCAGGAAAAGAGCAATTGTTTCATTTCACAGTCAAGGAAACCTAAGCCCTGAGTAATGTGACTCTTCATTTGTCAAGGCAATAAACTTGATGAATGAGATTCTGCAGCAACTCTATCAAATGCATATATACCAGGAAGCTGACTTAGAGAACAGCATTCTCTGGCCCACTTCAGCTCCTCCTAGATGAACCAGAACCATGATTGCTAAGACCCAGAACAAAGGACTCTACCTTGTCAAGGGAGAACCTGAAGTAGTCTCTGAAAAAGGGCATTAACAAGGACTTGCCATGGGACATATCATAGGCCACCATCCTGTGAGATTGATGGTGAAATGTGCCTGAACACTCCTTTCCTTGAACCAAGATTACTTCAGGGCAGCTTATGAATATAAGTGGATAGGGCCATCTCGATCCCTCTGGAGATTGGGTTATCTGGAGTCCTGCTTCATATCAATCATTAATCAACAAATATTAATTATCAGTCATCCAACATGATAAGTTAGCTCTTTCTATGCAGATGACATAGTTGAAACCTACTAAAACAGTATGCTATATAACAAGAGTATCAGTAACATCAATCGCCCTTTACTGAGGACCATTATCTACCAGAAGTCTCAAAATGAGCTTGTAGCTCACTTTTATATTTTAAACAACTTGAATATTTAAATCTACTCTTTCAACTGTAAATTCTGTATGATCTAAATAAAAATCAAAACTATATTTGATTAAAAAAACAAAGTATCCAGTGAATTTGAAAAACTTCAAATGAAGAAAATAATGTAAAATACCTTAATTTTTAAATATTGATTACATGCTTAAGCAATATTTTAGTATATATGAGGTAAAATAAAATACATTCTTAGAAATAATCTTACTTTTTTCATTTTGTTTATTGTGGGTACTGAAAATATTTTCATTACATATATGACCTACACATTATATTTGTATTGAACAGCACTGGTGTAGAGTGCTGGCAGGCATATGAACGGAAGAAAAACAAAATATTTTATTCAGTCAACACCCTTGAGTTTCCCGTGCTGGATGTTTAGAGAGCTTGAAGCTCTGGGCCTCCTTTTAAGTTCTTATCACTGGCTTATTCTTTTATTCTTTCAGTAAATAATGAAGAAGTTATGTCCCTGTACTAGGCATTCAGTTGAGAGCAGTAACGTATACAGAAAACATCCTAGGCATTAAAGATCGAACACTTCTATTGGCGAATAGAGACAATAATAATTGATATATCAATTCATAACTGGCATGGGAAAACAATCAAGCTGGTGAGAAAATAAAGGGTGTCTCTGACTGACACACTCACACACACACACACACAAAGTATACATATTCTGTCGATTCCTGGGTTAGATAATGGAAGAAAAGGGAAATAATCATTAGCTCTTCCACATTTGACCCAAAAAGATTAGAAAAAGTATGTTCAAGTTTTTATAAAATAAGTCAGAATACATTCAAGTACTGGGAAGCCTCCACAGGTCTTGGTTGGAAACACTCAAATCAAGCAGGTCTGAGCTTAACCCTCACCTTGGGAAAGGGGCAATGCCATGTCCTACTTTGCCCAATATTTGTCTATTTTATGAGTCTTATCAGACAACCACCTGTTCATATTATTTTTCAGTTCCATTTTCCACCAAATTTGTTTTCATGTTTATTCATTTATTCCATAGACTTCCCTCATGTTTGCCTTTCAACATTCTGTATTTAAAGGTTAACTTCTTTTTGTTAAAAATGCATAAACTTCAATAAATCCAACTCAGACCAACAGACCAAATGCTGATCTACAAAATGTTATTTGAATGATGACAGCCACTGAAAGTTCCACAGTTCATTATCCATGAACCAAAGTCACCCCCACAACCCCACAGTCCTTATTCTACAGTAAAGAAGACTAAAACCCAGAAACACACATGGTCACAGAGACTGTGTATCTAGACTCACAGTATAACCGCGCTTACTACCAACAGTATCTGACTATGGCTCCTTGGCCTGAATAGGCCCACGAATATGTTTAGTCAGGTAGTGTCTGCATAGAATGTTTTACTTATTGTTTATCTTGTAATTGACATATAATATCATTAATGTACAAGCAAATTCAGAGATCTTAAGTATTCAGTGGATGAGTTTTGACAACTGCATATACTCGCGTGATCACCAGTCACAAGATACAGAACATATTTATCTCCTTAGAAAGCCTTCTTGCCCCTTCCAGTTCACTCCTTACTCATTGCTCCCAGACAAGCACTTTCTGAGTTCACTTACTAGATACACTATTCTATATATGTATATTAGGCAGTTTACACATCATTTTCAAACATACATATTTTTTTCATGTCACTCTCCAGTTTACTTTTTTTAACAGTTTAAACTTTTTTGTGTGTGTGTGAGGAAGATCGGCCCTGAACTAACTAACATCTGCCAATCCTCCTCTTTTTTGCTGAGGAAGACTGGCCCTGGGCTAACATCCATGCCCATCTTCCTCCACTTTATATGGGACGCCGCCACAGCATGGCTTGACAAGTGGTGCATCGGTGCACGCCCGGGATCCAAACCAGCGAACCCCGGGCCACTGCAGCGGAGAGCGCACACTTAACCACTTGCACCACCAGGCCAGCGCCTAAACTTATTTTGAAGTTTTAATTCTATTTTTTTTTTTATTGCAGTAACATTGGTTTATAACATTGTATAAATTTCAGGTGTACATCATTATACTTCTATTTCTGCAAATATTACACCACCTTTGCCACTCAAATTCAAATGTATATCTTAAATGATTTTCTTCTCTTGTTTAGTGAAACAATATGGAATACATTAAAAATCTCCCACTAGAATTGTGGATTTGTCTATTTCTTGTTTCACTTCTGTCAAGCAATACTTTATATATTTGCAACAACATTATTGAGTGGATACATATATGCATTTTTATATTTTAGGAGAAACAGATTCTTTTATCCTAATGACCTCTGCAACCCTGGTAATGCTTTTTGACAATGTTGACTTACATTAGGGTCAGCTTCCTTTGGAGAAGTATTTTTAATTTTTTTTTTTTTTTGCATCTCATCTCTGTTTTGGATGCCAATGCTTCCATTACAAGGAGTGGCACAGAGCCTGGCTCACTGAAGGCACCTAGTGATTGGGATCAACAGACAATGGTGAACCTTCACACCACTCTTCAACTGTACCTAGATTATAGCTAAATAACTGTTCATAACATAATACACATCTCAGTTTTCACAAATGTATTTAATTACCTTAAGAATGTAAGGGTGGAAGGAACACTGTCTTCTTCTCAGCATTCATCCACCAGCCTCAGCTTATCTGCACACCAGTTAGTTGATTCCTATGGCGTCCTGACATGGACACTTAGTGCTCTAGGCCTTGCACATGTACTGCCAACCAAATTCACTCTTCACATCTACCCCACCAGTTATGGCTTGTCTGCATTCCAGAGGTTTGTCTCCTGCTTGCCCTCTGACTGTTGACTAACTCTGGCCAGGGCAACCTAGCAAACTTCTTCACCATCCAATGGACTGCCATGACACCTTCTCCAACAAGGTCTGAAGTCAAGTCTTTGGGAGACGGCTGCTGTAAAAGTTTTGCCTTCCTCAGGTACTCTCCATCAACTCTAGGATATCTGTTAGAATTCTCTTTATATTACACTTCTCCTGTTTAAATCAGAGTATGATTTCTCTCTCTTGATTTCAGGCAGACTCATACAGAATTGATGACAGTGATCCGTGGAGACAAATGAATAAAGATGCGATTTGGGGATAGAATTGGTCAAGCCTTGAACTTCAGCAAAGAGCTGAGCTCCTTGCCAATGGGAAAGACACTGAGTCACAAGAGTCAAGCTAGTACCTATGGGTGATTGTGATACAGTGCCAATTGAAGCACCTGCCTTGGGAGGCTAAGTGAAGGCTACACTTAACAATTACAGCAATAACGATGATTATAATGGTTGTGATGAAGGATGGATTATTTTGAGTGTAGTTGCCCAGAAAACAACAAGCTCAAATCTGCTATCTTGGAG